CCTAATTTGGGTACTGTTTTTTCAGAATTTTCAAGTTCATATTTTGCCCTTCAGAGAGAGAGAGACAGACAAAGGCTGTTTCCAGCTGTTTAGTAAAAAGCACTTAAGAGGGCTGGGAGCACATGGGGGAATAGGATGGTGAGTGGGCGTGGGGGTATAATAAGGAAATGTAATTTAGGCAGTTACTAATTTCCTCCTGCTGTTTCCTATGGACAGGTGCAGGATAAGCCCCCACCCTTGATCCCCTATGCTGCCACTGTACACCAAAATTCCTCACTGTCATAAGGTGCAAGTTATTCCTAAATGGCAACACACACTCACAGATCCAGATGAGGAACACACTTTTTTTTTTTTCTGTCACTGCTGAGTATGTAATCATATACACTCACTGGCCACTTTATTAGGTACACCTGTACAACTGTATGCACTTCAATGCAACACTTCTGCTTTAATATCTATGTTTATGAAGCTCAAAGTGTATACATTCCATGACATACATGAGAGGATCAGAATATTAGGAACACCTCTGAATATAATGTAGTCCAGTACAACACCACCTTTAACTATGACCTCAATAATAAACGTAGAATTGAATTTCTGCATTTATGACACTCCAAATACACATTCACATGCATATAAATATGGGTGTAATATTCAGGCTGTTATTTGCACTCACATAGTCTCAGAGGGTGGCTGGCAGTGTGGTATATGGTGCTGATGTTCTCGAAGTGCGAGTCAGATGTATTACACAGCGTGTCATTAGAGCTTTTCACTCTAGTTGGTCCCTGTGGTGCACATCACACCCTGTTCTGCTGCTCTACATAGACCTCAGAGGGACAGACGTGAGCCTACAGCTGTCTGTCCGACTGTCTCCAGTTAAACATGGCTTGTCTTTTTCAACACAGGAATTCCTTTTTCCTTTGTTTACATGGTCTCCAGTTTCTGTTCAGATTTATGGCAAACTATGAATAGATAAATTTGATCTATTTTATGTTGCATCCCTACATGATTTATATGCATGATTAAATTGTAGATTGTATACAAAGAAATTAAGTAATAAATAGGGATGGCAATGCAATGACTAACAAGTAAAGATGTATCCAAATAGTTCATTTCATGACCAAATAAATCAAAACTGGCTTTACAAAATGTCTGTAAATGATCTCTTCCCAGTGGTCTCATACCTTTGGTCACCGTCTTCACAGCAGCAAATTGTAGCTTTATTAATAATAGCTCAAATACAATATCACATAATAACAGTGGGAAAATAACAACCTATCAAGTACTAATTTCTTCCTGAAAGCATTTCCATTTTCTCTTTTTACCACATTCATTCAAACCTATTTATTTGTTTCACTAAACATCTAATTTGCATGTGAGTTTTTAATTTTATTTTTTATTTTGACATTTCAAACATGCATAAAACCCACTTGACAGCTGAATGAAAACAGCTACTGTCTGCCTGTCTCTTGCTGTCATAAGCTCTTTTCAAACTAGATTAGCCACACCAGCCGAGCTCCTTTAATTGTCATTACAAACGGCAACCAACATTTTAATCCAGCGAGAATCTGCCATGTTTTTGGCATGTTTTTTAATAAGTCAAAAGCATCAGCTCTGGAGGACATTTCTACACTGTATTCAAGAAGCTGTAACTCAAGTCATGTTTTTAGTGACAAACAGGTGTAAAAACAAATTACAGCATTTTCTTCCATCTTTGTCCTCACTTCTGTCTTTCTGTTTACCTTAATTTAGCTTCTGTTAGTCCTTGTGGTCGGTCCTCTTGTGTGCTGTCTTGCCCCTGCGCACTCCTCCTCTCTTACCCATTGTGCACAAGCTCGTTGATGGGTTGCGTAAGTTTGCAAGTAAACAGATATTTCATTCTGAGACGTAAAATATACAAATGCAGCTATGCACTCTTCTCTGTCTCACTCTTCTTACTCACTGAGACCTTCAGAAAGTACTGGAGCCCCCTCATACCCTGAAGTGAAGAGGTCTGAATACTTTCTGAAGCCAACATCCTGGAAAAAAAAATTTTCAACTCTGACAAATGAAATCATATTTTAAGTAAAATTTAAATACTGTAGCATCTGACATGGTTTGAGGACATTTCAGGTTAGTAAAAGCCTAAACACATTCACTTCTCTCCATCTTCCAGACTGTCTGAAGCCATCTGTGTGACCCAGGGATGAGGAGCTCCCTGTGGGTCACTGATGCTGACAGACTCCCTAATCCCCCAGCTGCCTGGTCGGACACACACACAAACAAATGCTTACTTTCATATTGTTGCAGGCAGACGTGTTCTTCTCTCAGAGCTGCCTTTGTTTACTTTTATACAGCAATTTTAAAATGCAATTATGTAATTGTCCATTTTAAATTGAGTGGGAAAAGGAGGTTTAATCAATGTACAGCAAAACAATAACAAATACATGAGACCCTTCATCTTTTCCTGCAAACACATTTAACCTATCTCTCCCTTCCCTGAACAAACATAAATACTCCCATAGGAGCAGACAACCACACACAGCTTCTGGACTTGGGCTATTTCACCATGTCATGCTAAGGTCAGGGGTCATCCTGACCAATATACTATAGCACCAAAGGAATTTATCCTTCTTAATTTAACCCTTAGTCATCCAGAAAATTGAACAGAGTGTTTAAGGTTGCTTTCACACCTAAATTGTTTGATGCAGTTCTAAGTCTGGTGTGTTTGTTACTTACTGGAATGGTTTTTGCATCCATCAGTTTTGGAATTGTGCACAGCAAACCACATTGTTGAAGGATTACTGCAGATGTGGATTTACTGTTGCTTATATTACCATTTGGCCCTGATTATCACCTTGGGGAAGCAAACATAATGCTGTAGATGAGAAAGGAGGAAAAGAGGAGGAGGCATCTAAATTAGTGAGCGAGGAGATGAACAATATGAAGAGGAGATGCCACAGAGGTGATAGCGAAGGACAGGATGATGAATATTCAAGTGGAAATGATGTGGAAATTGAAGATTGGGGGGTAAGAAGAATGCTGAGAGAAGAAAGGGGAAGCTGGTGGAGGTTCCTGTCGTTTTGGGTGGCCCTGAGTCAGGTTGAGGACCCAGGTGTTTCCCCTCCTCTGTCCCTGTATCACTCCATTCTTTCCTTCTCTTCGCCTCCCCTGGTGGCCATCGCCATTTAATCTGGATTAATGAGGATGTTGATGTTCACCTCTGTTGTCTCTCTAGCTCTTTCCACTCTCCTCTCAACATTCACAGGGAGGAATATATTGTTCTTACCCAGACTCCCCCCATATCTGCTTCTGTCTGTCCACATCTTAATTTCAGATGAAATCTCTTTCACCTCTCAGATTCCTCCACCTTTTTTCCACTTCCTTCCCCATTTTCTTCCATATCTCAAGTCTTTGCAGTGCATGCATGTATGTCTGTCTGTATGTGTGCGTGTGCAACTTCAGTTTTCCAACTCTGCTGACTGACAAGGCCTAGCTGTTCATTTTTAGACCACCTGTGTATCCTGTCCCACAGCTCTGTTTGGGTGGTCAGACCTCCCAGTCCACAGAATACGCTCACAGCTCTGTTTGGGTGGTCAGACCTCACACACACACACACACATAGAAATCTACGTTACCTTGTATTCCCTTGAATATCTACAAGGGAAGTCTGCTTATGCACAAGCATGGGCACACACAACCAAGCTGTACGCGACCTAATCTGTGGTGAGTGAGTCACTCTAATTGGCCAGTCAACAGGTGCTGAGCTCGACTCAGGGGACCAGACAGAGGAGACGCAGGGATAAGATTGCAGAACAAGGGAGAGGCTAAACTCAAGGCTTCTGTGTAATGACTACAGTGGGAGCCATTGTTGCAGGGTGGGAAGTAAATGTCTGAATCTCTTTTGCTGCTCTGTATTGGTGATTGGCATATAGCATTAGAGCTATTTGAGCTATAGCCAGTTATATTCATCCAGGAGTAGACTGCATTTGGTCAAACACTAGTATGATCAAGATCACATAACCAGATACCTTGAAGCATGTAGCCTCTGGCTTTATGCTAATGTAATTCACAGGCAGGGGATAGCCAGCATGACTTTCCAAAGTTATAAAACGGTAGCCTGTAGCAACACGCCCACACTAGCACAGAACCTTGAGGTGTGTGCGTTTAGTTATATGTGCCCAAAACAGGCAATGATGTGACTTATCGTAAAAGTAGCTGGAGAGTTTGTTTGGAATAAACGGAAAAGGTGTGGGAAGACTTTTAATTTATGATGTTGGCAGATCACCACTTATAAAAATAGGAATGTTTCCTTACAGCTAGGCTGATGAGCTGACTTTCAGATTTGCTTACTAGCTAGACTTGTGTGTCACTCGGCACTGGAAACAGCACATAAGATGGAAAGCATTTGAATGGGCCTGTGAAAGGTGAGCAGCCCACCCTTTTCTCCTTTCTCTCTCTCTTTCTCTCTAGTCCCTCTCTTTCTCAATCTCTCTCCAACCCTCTTTCCGTCTCCCTGAGGCCCGCGTGTCGCCTTTCCCAGGGGTTTATCCCCCTAATCACCCAGAGCTAGTGGGAGGGAACTGGAGACTTGCAGCTGGCTGCCTTGTTACTGCAGACACACTCACACACATTCCTATACACACACAACCTCATATATGCTTACCAAAGCATTTGCTGTTATCTCTTGGCATCTCCCCCCACACACACACACACACACACACACACACAAAACACAGTCCTGCCAAGGCCACAGCCTCGCCACGTAAACTGAATAACAGGAGGAGGCTTACCACAAGGGAGGGCCAAATCTCTGGTACGTCCTCTGCCCCAAACCAGTTTAAACCAGTATTAAATATTGTCTTCCTTTATATCCTCAAGCATATATAAATGCTGTGATCGTGTGCCTCTATGTATCTGTCAGACAGTCTTACAGGCCTGCTCCAGGCTAATATCAGGTGCAGTCAGTAGACATGCAGTCCTTACTTTGTAATTTCTCCCAACCCAACTTTCTCTTTCAGGAGGGATCCATATTACCCCACCCTCTCCAGACCCACGCAGAAAGAACCAGCCTCTTACCCCAGACACTACCATGACCCTCCAGATTACAGCAGCTCCACCCGTGTGCCACAGCCCCAGTCTCAGCAGGCACCCAGCAATGTGCTCTACTACCCCTCAGCTCCCCGCGCAGGACAGCAGCACCAGGCAGCGGTGAGGCAGGACGTCCCCCCTTCCCCCACGGCAGGCCACAGGGGGCGGCCTACAGGCAAGCCAGCCCTGGCCGCTACACCAGCCCAGAGAGGTACCCCACGGGGGAAAGACAGCCGGACCCAAGACGGAAGAACCCCATGATAGGTGCGGTGTAAAAGGTAGTCCCCTCATCTGACCTCATCTAGAAATGAGGTCAACTGGGACATTTACACAAAGAATATATATTGTAAGTAGCTTAGAATTGATTCGAGATTTGTGAGACATAATATCAGCTGTCACTCAGGCTGCCAGTGTAGGTAAGTTAGATTTGGCCACATTAATTTATTTGCTCAGGATCCCTGAAAGCAATATGTGACAAGTTGAGAGGCTAAAATAGGATTTATTTATGACCAGTTCACAAGCATCTGGTCATAAATCTTTACAGGCCAAGGCAGATTTAACAAGCATTAAGGATTCATGTGGGTGCATATAAATATGTATAACTGCTTTTGTATATTTGCAAGTTTCTATACACTTGATTTTTATGTAGACATGACATTAAAATAAGGGCAGTTAAATGAATTTGTTAGATACATAACATAAACCTAGTGCCATATGTTGTATATAATCAACTATCAGTGCTGATCCGCATTTTGCACAAGCTGATCAAAGGGAAGAAAATAAACATCACCATGACCACAATAAGATGAGAGACACGGGAAGTTAAAGTTGACAAACAGGAAATGGAAGTAACCCCGACAAAGTATCTGCTTGTCCATGGTTTTTTATAACTTGGACGGCTTTACATCCTGCTATCAACCTTTGCTATTTATTATGTATATTTGCCATTGATTAGGTGGTTGTGGGTGTGGTTGCTACACTTACTGTACATTTGTTAATCATTTAAATCAGTTGAGTTTATTTGTGATATATTTGTGGTGTTTCTAACAAAATGTAGAACTCTTGATCCACACACACAACACTTCAAAGGTATCCTGTGTGACTTGTCATACTGTGCAGCTAATAGTTTGATTAAACATTTTAAACTTCAATACATCATTGATAAAAGTCACTGCACCAAAAACTGATAAATGTGTCAATGGTGGTTTGATTTAAACATGATTTTTATATGAATATTTTGCATTAAATATTGTAAAAGTCTCTCTCTCTGTGGCACCAATTAATTTCATCCTATTTCTGCTTAATTCCACCAATTAGTCAGACTATGCATATTTAAAGTATTTAGTCAAACTATGACAACACCATGAGTCATCACTTTAAAAATTAATTACAATATTCAGCTTAATTTCTCCAAGCACAGTCTCCAGATAAATTTGGCCTGTGAGATGACTGATAAGAGGAGCCAGCGTTCTGATAATGACTAAATCATCTTCAACAATTAGAGGCAGGGAAACTCCACTAGAAAATGATTACTACCCAATTTGCTCTCAGAAATAAAGATGGCACTGATTGGTGAAATTAGACTTGAAATAGGGAATAATTAGGGTGTAGAGAATTCTTTTTCTATCAGTTAGTGTTTAATTAGCATCAAGGCCAACGGGGACCGGGCCTCTGCTGATCTGTCTTGTCTCCGCACCACTCCTGTCCTTTCAAACCAGCCAGCACAGGCTGACAAATGGTTAATTGTTTTATTTAAACCAATTTAAAGCAAATGAAGTCCTTCCCAGATAAATTCACAGCACGCACCAGGTGACTGAACGTCAGGCAAGGCACAAACTATCTGACAAAGTAACAGTAATAAACAAAGGCTCATTGTAACATGTCTCTATTCATATTTTAAAAACAGCGAGACAAACCAGAATAGATTAAAGCTGTATAAACAAGTCAGGGAACAACAGCTGTCTACTGACCATCCTGTGGTGACACAACGGGGGAAAACTGTCTTGCTAATCTAAATCAGATGTAGAATATGATGCAAAGCTGTGCTACCACTGTTATATGTTTAAATGTATGGTCGTTATGTTCTGCTAGTTTTGGAGGAAGAACAATTTTAGTCACATTCCACACTTTTAAAGACAGATAATGTGTGTTTTACTTAACAGCCACACATACCGTGGCTTTACCAGTATCAAAGGCACCAAAGGAGAACATTACAAAACAAAAATTTCTGCATTTTTTTTTTTTAATCATCCAATTAGTCAATTGGGAGCTCCAATCCCTTGGTTTCAAAAGTTATTTGTGTAGAAATGTTTCCTGTAGATCTTCTCTCACTCTCAGTGAGGGCAAAGCAACTTAGAGCACTTAAGCTCCCTTCACTGACTATTCGCTGTGCTCTAAGAATAAGTATTCAGTAAACAGCCTCCTTCAAGTGCCTGTGGTCAACAAATGGTAAACAGCAGCAACAAAACATCCAAGAATGAATTGTATTTAATATCCATTAAACAACAGCTTTGTAACGCACATCCTAAGGAATTTACTTGTCTATTCACAGTTGATTTAATCACTTACCGTGTGTGTCTCATGACTGTTTCCCCTTTGTTCACGGTCATCCAGAAGATTATTTAATCAATCGCATGACACATACACAGATTGGGGTCACATGGTAAGTGTGGGAGCACTTACCATGCGAAGAAGTTTTACATCCCACTGCATTTCATTTCAAGGAAGCTTGTCTCCTTCCATAAAACAAGTTTGTCTCCTTGTCTCCTTGCTGAAGTTCCTTAATGATTCTGCTCGGTTCTTTTTCTTGTCTGAAAATTTACATTTCCTTCTTATGTTAAGTGTTGTTTTTTTTTGTTTTTTTTGCATGAATTAATGTGACACTTCATAAGTCCCCATTTTTGTTGCATTTCCTGTAAAAGAGCACACACTGTTCCCCAGTCAACTGTCGTGAACCTCAGGTTGTGGGAAAATTCCCTGGTTATGTTCTCTTAGCATTACCTATTCTGCCAGCGCCCCTGTTGAACACCTAAGCTTGTTAGCATGTGTCAATCAAAAGCTATGCTCTGGGGAGGGCAAAGTGGAGAGTAGAAGCCGTTATCTCTCCCACACAGCTCCAAAAAAAAAGACAAAGCGTGAGAGTTAAACTGGGAAAGATAGAAGGGGTGAATACAAGAGTGTGTGTGGGGACTATACCCCTGCACTGCAGAATGAAATAACGGGTAAGCGCCCACACTGACCTCGGCCTACGCTCACACTATCCCACTTTCATCCTCTTCGTTAAAGGCACATTCAGCCGCATTAGCCCACTGTCCTTCTGTCCTTCACTTGCTTCCCTTCATTTCATTTCAGCCCTCGTTAAGGCACCATGGTCTCAGAATCGAGTATTTGGAGCAGGCTGAACAGAGCTGCTCATTTAATTATACAGTTCATTAGAAAGGAGCCCGGCCCCTCTGCTAGGTCTGAAGTAGGCCATGGGAATAGCTGGTGGCTAATGTGCAGTTTAAAGTAACAATACGTAGATTTTTTACATTAAAATAGGTTTCAAAATCATTTTGATGGTAGACTGACAACTAATAAGATGAATGGCATCTCTGCTATTGCCGCTGCATGCAGATCTCCTGTTACTGCACTAAGTTACTCTAGATGTGTCCCTGACACGTTTCATGAGAACTGCGTTTTGCTTTACAGCACCAGGCCCTTCCTCTGCCTCAGTATTTTATGATTCTTACACATATGCGGAGACAAATCTCTGGGCCTTTAATGAGTTTTGATATTTTTTCAGCCAAGAAAATAACCACTTAGATTGTGAGTATGTGGTCAGTCTATCCAAGTAATGCCAATTTAGAATTTGTTAGGGCGTTTTCGGGGATGTGAGTAGGTTATTTCTTATTGGATCAACCTAGCACTATTAGCAGACAGCTACATCTTTTTCAGACCACAGTAGTCAAATGTACGGGGAGACAAACTGCCAAATTACATATTGTTGCTTTAAACGGCCTGAATATGGTGATTGGTGGAGTTATGGATTACCATTAGCCGTTAGCCTGCTCTTCACCCACCTCATTCTCTTTTATGTCTGCTGTATAGCCCTTTGATACAGTATCACTCAAGTTGGAATGTGCTCTTTCAGCCAGCATGTTTGTTTGATATTGTTCATGAGCTGTGAAATTGAATTTCCACAGCTGGGCTGATATTGGAAAAAATTTCATATCCTGTGCAATATTCTTGCTTGGTTTCACCTTGTGCTGTGTTTAAGACATCCATTTTTACTTAATGTCTTTTTTCCTTCTGCCAAGTCAATACAGCAGCACTGTTAATTCAAACCATATTTACCCTAAAAGCAGCATTGGCTTGCTGTCTGCCTCGTGTTCACCCACACACCACAGCCTTAGCCACCAACCACCATTTTTTTACACCACCTGTCGCCATGGCAACATGGCCGCCACTCCTGGCACAGCAGCCCCTTTCAGAGCTGATGACATCGTTGTGGCAGCAATGGAAGGTTTATACTCCCTATTATGGAGGAAAGCAGGATTTTTCTTTTTTCTTTTTGGACAGAGTTACAGAAACCTCATATATGTAATGTAAACTCCTTTATTAAGAATACAAAAGTCCCTTTATTCTTTGGCCCAGTCCTGATACTAAATGAAATACTGTATAGTGAGCTGAAATGATTGCATTGCATTCAGCATAGGAAGTTCAGTTCAGTGTGCCAGCCAGTTAGCATAAATACAAACCCATATTTAGCAAGCTACACATGGCAATTCTTTCTCAGTTTTGTAGTGTTTTTGACGCATTTTTTTCCACTTGAAATCAAAAACATGAGCCCATTCAGTGGGTCCAAGCATCAGGGTGTAGGCCTGTTCCCTATGGGCTCCCACCTGAATAGAGCAATAGTGTGTTACTCCCACGATGAGTGTACTGCATTGTTTATTTGCTTCCCAGGCTAAGGAGGCTCAGAGGTGTTAGACTGGTCAGACTTTGCCTCTCTATCCTCTTGTGCACTGCCAGCGCGACATGGAAACCCTCCACAATCTTCTCTTCATAGATCCCCTGTAACCCTCTCAGCTTTCTTTATCTCTCCAGCAATAAAAACACCAAAAAGCTCTGTGCACTCTGGTGTTAACGCATGACTAGAGGGACGGTTCACTGGGTTGTGGGGTTTTCAACAACAGCTGAAGTCCATGAACCTTGGACCCCATTCATCAGGCTTTCAGCACCAGCCCCGGCCTCTGACACACACAAAACATCAGCCAGGAATGGAAGCACGCAACAGGGAAATGCATCAATGTCAGAGAGACACTGTAACCAAATAAAATTTTATCGCTCTACTTTGTCCAACACTTGACGTGCATGCGCTGTGTTTGCATGCAAGTTAACATGCACCAGTGTGGTTGTGCATGTAAAAATAAAGTTATAAGTGTCCAGAAGTGCTGAGGCTGGCAAACTGTGGTCTTGTGTGTGTCCAGACTGAGCTGTCTGTCATGCACACACTCATGCCTGTCCTTGTATATTAAGTTCTTACTCTAACACATACTTTTCATATGATTCCACTGTTGTCTCTCACATACACACCTGCTTTCTGCTCTGACACAGCGCATCATGCATGTTACCAGTATGTGTGCGGCAGAGGCTCAGCTGACTGCCTGGCAGTCACTGTGAAATTGGCACCCTTCTCATACACATGCCAGGTGTTTTGCTTGGCAGTCAGGGGTGCTGGGGGTGAGCTTGAGTGAGTCAGGAGTGTTGGGTTCCTGTGAACGGCAGGGAAAGCATGGGATAGTATATAGCGTGTCCCTATTCGCCCAGCCGCTTGGCTAAGATCGAAGACTGCCATGCCCGAGAGGAATTAGACTCCTTAGTTTCCATATGACCATAAAACAGTGTGTGATAGATCGTCTTCACTGTGAGCTGGGGGTATCTCAGGTGATTTTCCAACCACCATCATTCTTCAATCAAGCATAATTTCCAGACTGATGTGAAACATGATTTTCCAGACAAACTGCACTAGTCAGCTTTTGATGAAACATTTTGACACTGTATAGTATAGTAAAGAAAACAGACCCCTTTTCCATCATTTCATCATTGGCATAATCAGCTCCCCTCAAATAAGGTTCCACTTTGTTTGTGGGAAATTTTAACTGATGAAACTGTCATACAAGATTCAAAAGATGAATTTCACACTGCAGAGCTTCAAGCCTGCTGTCAGAA